TATATGTGTATGTTATTTGTTGTTTGTACCCGTAGTACAGCCCAGAAACAATAGTGCGCATTTTGTTTTTTTTTTTGTTTTTTTTTACCTAAAACACACTGACACTAATATCAATTAAAAAAAAAAAAAATCCTGACCTTTGACCCTGACCTTGACCCAAACACTAACCCTGGCACTGAAACTAGATCAAACATTGATCTAGGTATTTTTTCTTTATGTTTTATTTTATTTTTTAATATTTATTTATTTATGTATCTTTTTTTTTCTACATTTTTTCTCTATGCCAGGAGTTAGAGATACACAATGTATCTCTCTCCTCCATTCATAGAGATGAAAAAAAAACAAGCGGTGCGGGCTGTACAGTGACTGATCACTGTGATAGCCAATCAGAGGCTATCACAGCGATCATATGACCCGGAATTGGGAGTCCAGGGTCCCCGATTGTTAGAACTGGACCCGGGGCTCTCAGTGACACCCCGGTCTTTGTGCTGGGAGCCCACTGTGCGGTGCACTACCAGCACAAAGACAGGTACGCGAATATGCAGCCCCATGAAAAAAAGCCCAGTTCTGTGAGGCTGCATATTTGTGTGACGTGAAGGGGTTAAAGGCATTTTTTTAAATAACAAACATGTTATACTTACCTGCTGTGTGCAGTGGTTTTGCACAGAGAAACCCTGATCCTCCTCTTCTCGGGTCCCCCCGCCCGCACTTTTAACCCCTCCTTTCTGCAGATTGCCCCCCAGTGGGGCTCTCAAGCAGGCTTGCTCCCAATATGGCTCGGTCCTACCTCTCTCTCTTCATTGGCTCACAGGCTGTGATTGACAGCATCAAGAGCCAATGGCTCCTGCTGCTGTCTCAGCCAAAGAGGAGGGAGAGACCCCAGAGAGCCGAGGTTCCTGTGCACATTGCTGGATCAGGATGAGGCTCAGGTAAGTATGAGGGGGGCTGGGGGGTGAGGGGGCGCTGCACACAGAAGGTTTTTTACCTTCATGCATAGACGGTAAAACACCTTGAGCCTTTACAACCACATTAAAGCGGAGTTCCAGACGTTTTTGTGTTTATTGTAGCTGCTGACTTTTATTAAAACACACACCTGTCCCCGGGCTCCAGCGATGTTCTCACCTACGCCATCCGTCCTCCCCTTCTTTCGGCGCTGGCATCTCAACTATGGGCACCAGGCTGGGACAGCTTGTGGCTTCATAGCCTGGTGCCCACTGCGCATGTGTGATTTTTGCTGTGCGTCCTAATTGGTCCAGCAGTCTCCTGGGACCTGTGAAAGTTCCTAGGAGACTGAAGGAGGGAAGAGGGGGCCAACTTCCTTCTAAGTTTGCAGCGGCGAACTGAGCCAGAAGTGGGAGCGGGTACCTGTCAAAACCAGGTACCTGCTCCCCCCCAAAAGGTGCCAAATATGGCAGTGGAGGGGGGGAGGAGGCAAAAAGCGGAGCTTCTGCTTTTGAGTGGAGCTCCGCTTTAAAGCCAAAGCTTTTTTTTTTCACTTTGGATAGAGTAAAGCTAGGTTCACACCTATGCAGTTTGCATTTGATCCGTTTTGGCAGTGCTTTTTCGCGGTGTGTTTTGCGTTTTTTGCACATGCGTTTTTTATGCATTTTTGATGCGTTTCCCTTTTTTTTAATCAACTTGTTGTTGGGCAGAGTAAAATGCAAAACGCATAAAAAATGCATTAAAAACGCACTACCCCCGATCAGAGGTGGGTAGTGGGTGGAGACAAGGGGTGTCTCAGAAGGGGGGAGTACCTATTCTCTGATAAACAAAAGCCCTGCTATTACACTGATATATTGCTATGATACTGCTGATGTTATAAAGTGAAATTGTATGCTGTCACCATAGATCTCCTCTTTTAGTTTTAGATAGCACCAGGAATGGTAAAACCCCTGTAAGGTTATTTTTTCCTGTCCGTGTCCCATTGAGGATATTTCCCTTCACTTTCTGATGAGGAGATGGGCTAGGAAATGAGAAATAATCACTACAAAGTGAAGGGAGCTCTTAGGCAATTGAACAAGTTATCTCTATTGGTAGTAAACACCTGACAGTGGTTGTAATCCTTCCTTACACCAGTTTTGGCTGTTTGCCATTTGGCTATTTAAACCCAACACCAAAAATGAAATATATTGCAACATACCAGTCCTTAGATGTGATGTCTGCATTTGTTTTCTTTTATTCAGGCTTTTTTACTTTTATTTTCTCCTGGTGATCCGACTAGTAACACACCTCCTGGGTTAGGGCAGGGGAGGACTGACCATTTGAAAACTCGTGCACTGCCCGAGGGCCCTGGGTCAGTAGGGGGCCCCATGAGATGGCCCTGGTACCTTTTTCATAGGCTTTTTTGAGCTTGGGTAAGGACACAGGGGCCCCATGATCCCTTATTGCCCGGGGGCCCCATGAGTTGTCAGTCCGCCTCTGGGTTAGGGTGTCTCCATTCTGAATGGAGGAGCAACGGAGACACCCATGGACAGCAGCATTGTCAGTCTGTGGAGAGGGGAGTGTTAGATGTACTAGCAGATTTGAAGAAGAACTCCAGGATAGGCAAAAAAAAAAAAACAATCACCCATTAGTACACCCCCCCTACACAAAATACTAAACAGTTCATAACATTTTAGAAATCCTTACCATTGAGGGAAAAAGTGTAATTGAATTTTAATTTTCAAAATAAGTGAGCGCTTAAAACAACTAGTATAAAATCACAAAAATTAAAATAAAAGAAGAAGAAAACAGCAGCTGAACACCAAAGAGGTACCATATGAACCTTCTCAATAAAAATGCATACAAGGGAGAGGTGCAGCGCTAACTAAATGAATAAATATACTTATATACTTGATAAATATAAATATAAATCCATAAAAAGTGCTATTAAAGTGCAAAACGGTGACTAAATGATGGATATAGTCCATATCGTGCTCAGAATCCAAGAGAGTCCTTTAAGAGCTCCAATCCCTGGATTCGTGGATGAGGTGATAAAAGTAAAAATTGCGCACTCACCAAATGCGCAATTCAAATGCGCATTCAAAGCTGATATTCCAAGGTCCTCATATGGATCTGGTCAGATCTGGTCATGGAAAGCCCTCTGTCACCTGGTAGTGTATTCCACACATAGAAGAAAAGGCCGCTCTGCAGATGTAAAGGACTCCCACTGAGAACACTCAACAGCACGCCCACGTGCTAACGCACCTCCTCAGGTAGATTACTCCGCCTCGGCAGTAACACGGTTCACAGATCACTCCGCGCTCTCGGCCGCGTAGAAGGTAATGTGGCGCATGTGGTGTAGTGGCGGCTATCCGGCGCTGGGGGGCAGAGCGATCCGCACTGCCCCCCAGCGCCGGATAGCCGCCACTACACCACATGCGCCACATTACCTTCTACGTGGCCGAGAGCGCGGAGTGATCTGTGAACCGTGTTACTGCCGAGGCGGAGTAATCTACCTGAGGAGGTGCGTTAGCACGTGGGCGTGCTGTGTTGAGTGTTCTCAGTGGGAGTCCTTTACATCTGCAGAGCGGCCTTTTCTTCTATGTGTGGAATACACTACCAGGTGACAGAGGGCTTTCCATGACCAGATCTGACCAGATCCATATGAGGACCTTGGAATATCAGCTTTGAATGCGCATTTGAATTGCGCATTTGGTGAGTGCGCAATTTTTACTTTTATCACCTCATCCACGAATCCAGGGATTGGAGCTCTTAAAGGACTCTCTTGGATTCTGAGCACGATATGGACTATATCCATCATTTAGTCACCGTTTTGCACTTTAATAGCACTTTTTATTGATTTATATTTATATTTATCAAGTATATAAGTATATTTATTCATTTAGTTAGCGCTGCACCTCTCCCTTGTAATTGAATTTTCATCTCTGTAAAAGATAATGGTGTCTGCATTGCCAAGGAGGTGGTGTAACAGCCAGGATTACATCATATCCTCTCCCTCTCTCTCTGCAGTAAAAGGAAACTACAGTTCCCATCAAGCACAGGGAATTGTAGTGAATGTGGGCGGGTACACTAGGCCTGTACATGTTGAATGTGTCTGAGAGTCTCGATCCGCCCACCAATGCAAGTGGGGCTGAATGACATCACTGCTTCCTGGAGAAAGAACTACAGAAGGGATGTGCCAAGACCCGTGGCTGGGGGAATAGGAGGTATAGCAGCCACTGGTCTTACAAAGAGAATGAATGGTTTGATTTGAAAATGAATAGGCTATTTCAGAGCAACTACTGAGTGAACCAGAAGATGGATGACATATTCAGTGATGGTAGGAAATCAGCAACAAGGACATGTAAATAGGTTTTTGCCCAGAGTTCTACTTTAAATACACTAACAAATTGAATCCAAACTCCAGCTAACTCATTTTACGGCAACAGCTTTTTAATCCTTTTGGGATAAATATTATACATAAATAAATAAAAGCAGATCATTGTAAGCACCCCTGTCAGTAGTAAATTGTTTGTCTCAATCCTCTAACTGCCATTTTTGTTGGGCAGCTTGGTCTATTAAACAAAGTTGAAAAATAACAGAATTATAGGCAAGATCTCCAGGGAAAAAAGCATAAAAAGCAGCTCAGAATTGGTAAGCTGCAATATATTACATTTTGGTTTTGAGTTTAATATTTTTTAAGTGTTTTAATTAGAGATGAGCGAAGAAATGAAAAATTCGATTCGACTGATTCGGCGAATTCGTGGACAATATTCGATTCGAGTCGAATAAATTCGCTGTGAATTTAACTTAAAAAAGGGTGTTTCTAGGCTTCAGAGAGACTTAATATTAGTGCAGAACACTGTACCTTTAATTTAAATGCCCTTGGAGTCTGCTGGGGAAGAGAAATAATACTGTCAGTCAGTATGACATGCAGATGAGTGCCGTCGATCTTAGAATCACCGCACACTTCACTCATTTGGCCAGTCACGGGGCCAAAACCAGTGTTTGGAGCCACAGTGTGGCGGTGGAGGCAGCAGCAATGGGAGGCCATACAGCAACCTATGACAAAATGGAAACCAGCAGGAGTGTGAGGAGACCTGAAAGTGGCACATGGCAGAGTGGGAGCAATGGGAGGTGGTACAAGGACCCATGTCACACTATGGACCCAGCAGCAGCGTGACGAGGCGGTACGGGGGCCCATGGCAGATTTGGGGCCTGGCAGCACCTATGGGAGGCCTGTAATCTGCCAGCAACCTATGACAAAATGGAAACCAGCAGGAGTGTGAGGAGACCTGAAAGTGGCACATGGCAGAGTGGGAGCAATGGGAGGCGGTACAGGGACCCATGTCACACTGTGGACCCCAGCAGCAGCGTGACCGCAGCAGCAATGGGAGGCCCGTAATCTGCCAGCACCCTATGACAAAAAATGGAACACACCAGCAGTGTGTGAGGAGACCTGAAAGTGGCAC